GTCTAACGAACCATTAACTCCCTGTAATGCCACTGCACACAAAATTAGGTTAAAAAATGAAGACCCAATTTATGTAAAAAATTATCGATATCCTTATCATCTCAAAAAGGAAATCCAAAATCAAGTTTCCAAGTTATTGAATGATTGAATCATTCGACAAAGCTATTCACCCTATCAATCACCCTGATGGATAGTTCCTAAGAAAATGGATGCATCCGGTGTTAAAAAATATAGGATGGTTATTGATTTCAGAAAACTGAATGAAATAACAATTGAAGATAAATTTCCACTCCCACTAATTGAAGAAATTTTGGAAAATTTAGGCAAAAGCATGTATTTTTCTACTATTGATTTGGCACAAGGGTTCCACCAGATCCCTATGGATCCTTAGTCTATAGAAAAAACGACTTTTACTGTTGAAAATGGCCACTATGAATATGTCCGTATGCCATTTGGGTTAAAAAATGCCCCTGCTACCTTTCAACGTATGATGAACACTGTATTGTTAGAATATATCAACGTTTTTTGTTTTGTCTATATGGATGATATCATTGTTTTTTCAAAATCCCTAGACGAACACATTTTGCATCTTCGAAAAATATTCCAAAAACTGAATCAGTTTAATTTAAAAATCCAACTGGACAAATCTGAGTTCCTGAGAAAAGATGTTCCATTCTTAGGTCATGTCATCACGCCACAAGGCATACTTCCAAACCCAGATAAAATCAAAGTAATTCAAGAATATCCTCTCCCGACTACGATTAAAGAAATCCAGTCATTTTTAGGCCTTATGAACTATTATCGTAAATTTATTAAAGGATTTGCACAATTGACTAAGCCATTCACAAAATGTTTACGTAAAGATGAAAAAATCAATATCAATAATCCAGATTATATCAATGCATTTAAACTTTGTAAATAAGCTCTTTGTAACCCACCTATTCTGGCTTATCATGATTTTTCCAAAAAATTTACATTGACAACTGATTGTAGCAATATAGCCCTATCAGGAGTTCTTAGTCAAAATAATAAGCCTATTGCTTTCCACTCTAGAACATTAAATACTGCTGAACGCAATTACAGCGTTATTGAAAAAGAACTATTGGCAATAGTTGATTCTTGTAAAAAATTCCGTCCTTATTTATTTGGTCAAAATTTTTTAATCGAATGTGATCACAAGCCCCAAGTTTGGTTGAGTTCTTTATCAGTGCCCAATCAGCGATTGATTAGATGGAAGCTTCAGTTAGAAGAATATAATTTTTCAATTAAATATAAAAAAGGCAAAAACAATGTTGTAGCCGATGCACTTAGTAGAATTGAAATTAACGCTTTAGAGGATGACGATCTTTTATCCATTTTACCACAAGTAGATTCTGTAGAAGAATTAACAACCCAATAACTTGATGAAATCTTGAATGAAGATAATTTACCTTTATTTGATTTATTAGATGAAATGCCGTTAGATGAACGACTCAAAATTGTTGAGCAATCTAATGTTACTCGACATTCATCTGCACAAAATCCTATCAATCATATATTGTATCAAGAAAAGAATTTTTATTTTTTCAAAAATCGAATACATTTTCAGTTAAAAAATCAGTACAAAATAACAAAGCCTTGCAATGGAACTTTAATGGTAACAGTCCGAAGTGGATCTGAAACAGAGCAACTTTTGAAATTTATGAAGGAATATCTTCAGCCCGATCATACTTATGGTATTTAGTATGAAAATCAACTTTTAGAATTCAAACTTAACGAACTTTTAGAACAGTATTTTTCGAACAGCGGTATAATATTTGTTAAAGCTTCTTAAAAGCCTATATACCTACTAAAATACTCATTTACAGAACAATTGAAGGGCTTGGGGCAGTAAGGGATCTAAGCCACATTTTGATGAAAAATTAGATTTCCATACGAGCGAACTCCTTGAGTAGGTATCTATGTCTGAAGTTGATTTGTTTGATGATCCGCTGGTAGATGTCGCTATAATCCATGAAGAGCGTTTTTGACAGATTGGTTTAGTCTACAAATTTTTACGCCGAAAAGGACATAAGCCACATACATTTCAAGATGGACGCCAAGCGGAAATTGTTCGCGGGTGAAAATAATGGATGTTTTAGTGATTCGGAGAGCGAAGATGGTTCTGAATTTGGATCAGATGATAGTGTAAAGGACAGAGAGTATAATCCGACTAGCAGCAGTTCTGACAGTGACTCCGAACGAGAAACTCAGGTGAATAAATAAACTTGTGGCTTGTGACCTTAATGCCGTTATAGATGTGGCTTATGCTTTTTTCACATAGGAGTGCAATTTTTTAATATTATCTGCAGTATTACTAGATTATGATTTCAGACTAATCATTCCTCAGAGTATATCGTAATCCTAATTTACAGAGGCCATTTTTAACAGCAAATAACTCCTGAACACATGATAAAAATATGTAATTTTGTGCAAGTGGCTTATGCCCTTCTTCGCCAACTAAATTGATGTCTGTGTCTTGTGACGTTTTTCAGTATCCGGGAATAGCGATAACTTTTGCAAAATAGAACTGAGATTTACTGTCACAAATAATTTTAGTTATTATTATGATAATCAACTGAAATAGGCATTCGTCAAATGATGTTTTTTTGTAACAATAAAATGGCTTTTAGGTTGCTGTAAGCAGAGGCAAGATGTTTACTCCAGAAAAACCAAATAAATCGAGATGGAGAAAACGTAATATTGAAGGCAGAGCAAGAGTGAAATCGAAAACACGCAGAAATCTTGGCCACAGTTACATAGATTTCAAAGGTCGACAACGAGAGTCTAAAGTATTAGGTCCACCATGTCAGTGCAAAAAGAACTGCAGACAACTGCTCCAAGAAACTGCTTCTACTATATTCCATGCATTTTGGGACTTGAACTTGTATGACGAACAGAATACATATCTATTTTCTACTGTGAAGGTTATACCTAAAAAGAGAAGCTACAAAAAAAAAACTAAACGCGCGGAATCGGCTAGACGAGTAACAAACCAATATTTTGTCAAAGTAAATGGAGTTGACATTCAAATATGTAAGACTGAATTTTTATCGGTCCATGGATTTCAAAACTCCAGTAAGCGATTAAAACTTATCGCTCAGCAAATTGTTGAAGGCAGGACAACTCCAAAAAGGGACGGTAGGGGCAAACATCAAAACAGACCCAACAAAATTTCTGCAGAAAGAGTTCAGTCTGTTCATGACCATATTAAAGCCATTCCGAAATATGTGAGCCATTACAGTCGGAAAGTTAATCCAAATAGAGTTTTTCTAAACCACGACCTCAACATATCTACTCTCTACAAGGACTATTATGTTGAGTGGTGCAAAGAACATGGAATAGCACCAGTAATTATATCTCACGTCCATTCCGAAGATGTATTTAACTAAGGTAGTAGTACGCTCATGCGTACTGCGCGCCACACATTTTTAAGATGAATAGTAGCGCGAGCGCGGATATGTTCTTCCCGCTCGCCGCCGTCCGCTGTAACTGCCTCCCCGTTTCATTCGCTTTTATGTGTGCGTCGCGTCCACACGTGTAGTTTCAGTGCCCGGCTCCGCAACAGACGAAAAACCAATAGTACAGGTATGATAGTATTATTTTGCTATTCACGACATTCATAGAATGTTCTGTTACATCAGGATAATACGAAATAATGATATTTTTTATTGGCACAGTCCCAGATTTTTCTTTTGCAATTTCACGAACAAGGCTTCCTAGTTTATTTGCTGTGCATTTAATGTTAATTCGAGAAAGTGAACTATTATATACTAATCACGTTAAAATCGTTCTGGTGAGCAACTATTTCTCCACAGGGCTTGTTTTACAGCATGGGGAAACGCAAGAGAAGCCGATCCAGCGACAAACTATCGCGTAGAGACTTACAAAAAACAATTAATGAGCTTCGCGATAGACTAAACAGGCAGGAGCGAGATCGTAGGTCCCATTCACGTCGGCACAGTCGAAGCATTTCTCCGAGGAGGCCCCGCTCTAGTTCGCGCAGTCGATCCTTAGTACAGGACCGTACTTCGATAAAAAGAAGGGGGGTGCCAGATTCGGAGGATCGTAACCACAATTATACGACTCGGAAACGTCGAACTTTGGACAAACCGACTTCCGAATATCAATACTCTAGGAATTCATCGAGAGAACGTCGGGTTTCGCACAGCCCAACTTCCAATCGATACCAAAATCCTAGAAATACATCAAGAGAGCGTCGGGTTTTGAACAGCCCGACTTCTTCACGATTTTCAAAAGAAAAAATAGACCGACGTAGCATGAGCCGAGCCTCGTACGACTCGGCGAGTGTCACCAGTGGTAGAAGCCCGGCATCGAACTGTCCGGCTATAAACCAAGACCATCCGGAACTGGATGACCTAGATACACTCGTACTCCAAGACGACATAAATTTACAAGCTGAAAACACTGAGAATGAGGCGGAGCAACTTCCAGAGTGCATTAAAGAGGTATTAGGCATTGACACTGACACAGAAACAAAACAGTCCTATCATCTCAATGACGCTATAAGACAAGTTTGGTCACAAACAATAGCCCAAGGCATAGGAAAGGAAAATATGGATCAAATTTTGGATCGCCATAGGCCTCCCAATAATTTTCCTACTCTTGATCCTCCAAAAGTCAACCCGGAAGTTGCTCACATTCTTTCTCAAGCATATGTTAAGAGGGACCAATGCCATGCAAGATATCAGCTATTGGTGGGAAAAAGTACAAGTGCGCTTGGCAAATGCATGAATTATGTCATCAATGAAATCAAGAATAATGTTGATTCTGATCTAAAAATGCACTTGCTACCACATCTAGCAGATGTGGGCACATTCATGACCCAGCTATTCCATGAGATCTCGACGACCCGTAGGGAATATATTTCACAACTTCTCTCCAAATCGGTGAAAGATACCATCAAAGAGACTATTCCGGGGGAATATCTATACGGCACCGATTTGGCAGAAAAGATTAAAATGGCAAAAATTGCAGAAAAAGCTGGGAACGACTTAAGACAAGACGGTTATACCAACAAGGCAGGGCCATCCGGCATCAGAAGAGGGGGGGGGCACACCTCTCAGCGCCAGCATGGTACCTCCAAAACTGCATACAATGCTCGTACTCCATATAAAGCGACTAGCTACCGCCCGTCTTTAAACAGGCAACGCCCGCCTCGCCAGTCAGGGAGGGACTCGGGGCCGAGGAAAGGGCAAACCTCCAAGCAAAGTCGCCCCCCAGGGTGCAGATACCAATAAAGGTAAGTCATTCTAAGCTAGCGGGCAGACTATCCCATTTTGTCGAGTCTTGGAAATGTATAACGAACAATTCCACAGTTCTATCCTGGATTAAGGGATATAAGATCCCTCTCTTAGCAACACCTGTTCAGAAACAGAATCAAACTGCCCACACTCAGTGCGACCCTTTGATTGCCTTGGCAATCAGGGAGCTACTAGATATCGGAGCAGTATCATCATGTACGGAGAGGAAAGACCAGTACGTTTCAACTTACTTCCTAACTGAAAAATCCAACGGAAAGAAACGGTTCATTTTAAATTTGAAAAAATTTAATGAATTCGTGAAATACGAGCATTTCAAAATGGAATATTTTCGGACAGTACTAAAACTATTGCAAAAGCAATACTGGATGGCAACCATCGATCTAAAAGACGCATACTTCCTAATATCAATAGACAAATCATTTAGGAAGTATTTGAGGTTCAGGTTTAATTCTAATACATTTGAATTCAATTGCTTACCATTTGGTCTCTCGTCAGCACCGTACTGTTTCACAAAAATAATGCGACCCGTCCTGGAAAACCTGCGTACTCAAGGGATTCTGTTGGTCAACTATTTAGACGATTTCCTAGTCATCAGTGACTCGTCTGAAAAATGTAGGGAACACACAAAAATTGTGGTAAACACATTACAGTCCATAGGTTTCATCATAAACTTTGAAAAAAGTTCGTTGACCCCAGAACAGAGAAAAATATTTTTAGGATTTCAATACGACACCAAAAATATGAAAATATCCCTACCGTCGGAAAAGAAAACGTCCATTAAAAACATGTCAACGTCTTTCCGAAAAAGGGATACATGCAGTATAAGAGAACTTGCACAGTTCATAGGCACCTTAACCGCAGCCTGCCCTGCGGTTAAGTACGGCTGGTTGTACACCAAGCGTTTGGAACAACTAAAGTGCTCAGCTCTAGAAGCGAACAACTACAACTATAATTGTATAGTAGTCTTACCACATAACTTTATAGATAATGACCTAATCTGGTGGGAGCGAAACATCTTAAATGCGGAAGCCGATATTAAACAGACAGGCTATAGTATGACAATATTCACAGATGCCTCACTGACTGGGTGGGGTGCATGTAGAGGACACGACAAAACCCATGGGTTTTGGTCCAATCCAGAAAAAGATAATCATATAAATTACTTAGAACTTACAGCTATTCTTTATGGCTTAAAATGTTTCGCCCGGGATGCAAGGAACTGCAGTATTCTGATTAGATCAGATAACACGACGGCAATATCTTGCATCAACCGTTTGGGCAGTATACAATCTACCAAGCTCAACAACAGAACGCGAGACATCTGGGAATGGTGTCAAGCCAGAAATATTTGGGTATTCGCTTCATACGTCAACACAAAGGACAATCTGGACGCAGACAGGGAGTCCAGAGTAGTCTCAACCGAAACAGAATGGTCTCTGGCAGATTCAGCATTCGATGTTTTAAAACACGAATTCGGATCTCCTGACATTGACCTTTTTGCCTCAAAAATAAATCACAAATGTCGACGATATGTATCATGGAGGAAAGATCCGGATTCGGTCGCAGTTGATGCATTTACTATTAGCTGGACCGATATTTATTTTTATGCATTCCCCCCATTTTGCTTAATATTGAAGGTGTTACAAAAAATTATCCAGGATAAAGCTGAGGGAATTGTAGTAGTACCAGACTGGCGTGCCCAGGCATGGTATCCGCTTGTAGAGAAACTACAAGTTGGAAGATCTGTTACTTTTGGACCTGACGATAATCTTCTGACTTCTCCTTTCAGTTCAACCCACCCTCTGGCCAACAGATTAACATTAGTGGCCGCGAAATTATCCGGCAGGGGTTTCAACTGAGAGGAATATCGGATGAGGCGGTAGAGACCATAATCGATTCAATATCGACAGCTACGATCAGCCAGTATGCGTGTACTTACCGTCTATGGTATAAGTACTGTGAAGAGAAGCAGATACCAGTATTTCAGGCAAACGTCCTGCAGGTAATAGAATTCCTTCAGAACATTATCAATACAACTGAACTAAATTATGGAAGTTTAAACAGCCACAGATCTGCGATCTCCCTTATATCCTCCGATAGCCTAGGTTCACACCCCCTGATAAAACGGTTCATGAAAGGGGTAGCCAGAAGACGACCAATGAACCCCAGGTATAGGTTCACGTGGGATCCTCAACCAGTTCTTACAGCATTAGGAAATCTCCCTAACAACCAACTTAAAAGCCTCACCCACAAACTGGTGACCCTACTTTCACTGGTAACAGGTGGCCGCCTTCAAACGATCTCTTTAATCCGGGTATCAAACATTCACAGAGACGAAACCAGATTACAAATAATGATTACGGACCCAGTAAAGACGTCACTTAGCCTCAATGATCAGCCTTTTCTGAGTCTCCCGTTCTTCACACCAAATCCCAACATATGCCCAGCCTCAACAGTGCTGCAGTACTTAGAGTCAACGAAAGAAATCCGAAATAATGAAGATTTCTTATTTTTAACTTATGTAAAACCCCATAAAAAAGCAACAAAGCAAACCCTTGCCCGTTGGGTAAAACAGACACTTATGTCATCGGGAGTAAATACGACTGTATTTAAACCTCATTCAACTAGGCACGCAGCAACGTCAGCAGTCCGTAGGGCAGGGCTGTCGGTAGACACTATAACTGCAGGCTGGTCTCAGAAGACGGCAACCTTTGCAAGGTTCTACGACCGACCACTACAAGCGGATGATGACTTTGCAAACACGATACTCTCAACGAGTATAAATTAGAATATTTTCACCTTATTTTACTTTTGCTATGATAGCAGTTTTGTTCAACTTATTTCGTATATAAAACATCAATGCATATGTTTGTGGTTTGTATCTTTGAACATCTACCTTAGTTAAATACATCTTCGGAATGGACGTGAGATATAATTTAACGATCAAACGAACTTACCTGAAGTTCGATCGTAATTATATCGATCGTCCATTCCGAAGATGTAGAAACCCCCCCTCCCTGAAATGCAGTGGCTTTTCACCCTGCTCATATGCATTGAAAAACAATCTTTGAAGGAATGAAACGGGGAGGCAGTTACAGCGGACGGCGGCGAGCGGGAAGAACATATCCGCGCTCGCGCTACTATTCATCTTAAAAATGTGTGGCGCGCAGTACGCATGAGCGTACTACTACCTTAGTTAAATACATCTTCGGAATGGACGATCGATATAATTACGATCGAACTTCAGGTAAGTTCGTTTGATCGTTAAAAAGAAGATCGGTATAGACGAATATTCTGTTCTGATTACAATATAGGATTTAAGTTGCCCAAGAGTGATACTTGTCATACATGCGACTTCCTTAATAATCAAATGGAAGCAAATAAAGAAAACCTGGAGGAATTCAATGAATTTAAAACACAACTGCAGCTTCATCAGACGAGAGCACTTGCCATGCAGGATAGCTTGAAAAAAGAGGTATCAGACAATGCGAAAAATTCCACGTGTATAATATCATTTGATTTACAGCAGACTCTTCCCACGCCTTCGCTAACTGTGGGTCCTGCCTTCTATTTACGAAAGGCTTGGACGTACAACCTCGGCATACACGATTGTGTCACTGGCAAAGGTAGCATGTTTTTGTGGGCAGAAACTACTGCAAAAAGGGGAAGTGAAGAGATTGCAAGCATCCTGCTGAAATACTTACAAGGTATATCTTCCACTAAAGAGCACTTGGTAGTTTTCACTGATAACTGTGGAGGCCAGAACAAAAACTGGGTAATCATGACTTTGTGGTTGCAACTTGTTCGCGAAGGATTCTTCAAGTCCATAGAGCACCGTTTCCTTATTCCTGGCCACACTCACTTGCCTTCAGATAGAGACTTTGCCATCATTGAGAAGCATAAGAGGTACATCAAGCAGGTATACTGTCCAGAAGACTGGGTGGATATCGTTAAGAAATCCAACAGAAAAAGCCCATTTGACACAGTCTTATTGGAACAACATGACTTTTATGCATTTGATTCCATCTCTATTACGAAAAAACAATCTACCGTAGATAAGGAGGCCGTCAAATTTAATGAAGTGCGCTGTTTCAAGTTTGACAGTGAACATCCCAATTCTATGTTCATAAAACATACCCTTAACGGAGAATTTCTTGAGGTAAATGTGGGTAAAAGAGGATCTCGGCTGGGAAGTCAACGAACCCTGACAGATTTGAGAAGAAAATACAATGGACCTCTAGCACTGAATGACAAGAAGATCAAAGATCTGAAAAAGCTTCTAAACTCGTATATCCCGCCGATTAGTCAGCAGTTTTTTGTTGATATTGTAGGAAATACAATTGAAGCAGAGCCAGGCAGTGAACAGCCGAAGGAAGGAGAAGAAGAGGCTGAAGATATAGATGGCGATGATGAAGAAGTGAATTTGGACTAAATGAGTGATTCAAGCTATCATCAGAATGCATTATTTTTTTTGTAATAAGGCACCAAGCCACAAAATTTTCAAAAATAAATTTTTTCTACGGAAATGTGTCACAATTTTTCGAATTAGTCGCCACCAAATCCTAGTTACCTGAGTTGGAAATGTATTGCATCAGTTCTAGCCGATTGTTGCAAAAAACCTGATTTCAGGATTTACACAAAACTTACAATGCCTTTTTTCTCAAAATAAACCCAATGAGGCTTAGGTCCCTTACTGCCCCAAGCCCTTCAATTGTCTTTCTATCATAGCCAAACGCATAATGGTATCAATGAAACAGCCATTTCAAGAGAAAAGCATTCACTCCAAATATGAAAAAAATAATATCAAATTACATTAATCAGTGCAATACTTGTTTGACATCAAAATACGAAAGACGACCAATCGAACTCCCTATGGAAGGACCTCTAATAGCCAAAAGACCATTTGAACATATATTTCTAGATATTTTTCAAGTTGAACAACAAATATTTTTAACATTTGTTGATTTATTTAGTAAATATGCCCAGGCCTACAATTTAAAATCAAAATCATCTAACGAAATATTAAACAAAATCAGACACTTCTTTTCCCATCACAATTATCCTGACAAAATGACTTTTGATCCTGGTGAACTTAAAACAAAAGTTATAAAAGAATTCTGTAATATGCACAAAATTGAATGTCATGTTACTAGTGTAGGTAACCCTCATCATTATCACCTCTTGAAAGATTTCATAGTACCTTGAAAGAAAAATTTTACGTCAGCAAAATAAAATCGATTCGATTATTGATCTAATGACGACAGCTATCTTAATTTATAACCAAAGTGTCCATTCTACGACCACATATACCTCATTTTCATTATTATACGGTCCTTACGACGATTTGAATAAGCATTTCATCGATACCCCCACAAAATTATATGATGAATATAACGAGAAACGGTACAGAGAATTACTACCTTTTTATGAAGAACTATCGAACCGTGTACAAGATAAGGCAACGGAAAGACTAGAAAAAATTAATCAAAATCGAAATAAGGAAATTCCAACCTTAGAAGGTCCAGTATATCTTAAATCTGCATTAGATAAAGAGACCTCTTACGAACAAGAAAATGTCCATATTAATTTGCGCACTAAAGGAAAAAAGCATAGACTGAATAGAGTGAAACCGCAACGCAAAATTTCTAACTTTCAGGATCCTAATCCAGGCCCTTCAACTAGCCTGCCTAGAGATCCAGCTGATCGAGAATAAAGCACCATATTTTAAGCAAGAGCTAGGTAACGCCTATCTACTAAAAGCGTACCATATTTTTTCATATAAATCTCACTCTCATTAATGAAAATATCAAGCAAATAACGTCAAATGTCTATTTTGCAAAACAAAGAATCGATGATACGTTGATGACACAACTTGAACATGAATACAATTTGCTTTTAGACAAATATGAAATGTTAAAATTTAAACGAGTTAAGCGTGGATTATTTAATGGTCTTGGTTCCGTCATAAAATATATTTCAATTTAGATCAACCTGATCTAGACGAAATAATGGAAAATATGAAAATTCTGAAGGAAAATCAAGATAATTTATCATTACAAAATTCCTGAACCGTCTCTGTAGCAAAACAATTACAAGACAGGTTTGAAAATAACACTTTAATTATAAAGAAAAATTTGAGAGATAATTTGGATAACCTCAACAAATTGCATAGCGAATACGCTAATTCTCAGTATGTCATGAATGAGATAATAAATATTCAAAGACTTTCTAATTATTTATCACACTTACTGTTAACCATTAACCTGAGCACAAATCAGGGCATAAATCTCTTACAGCTGAGTAAGACTGAAATTAATTATATCCATTCGTTATTAAGTGATCTATTTGACAAAAATGAACTTCTCCCACTCGATAAACTGCACAATTTTGAATTTTTCGAATTATTAAGTATTATAGTCCTCGAAGAAGAAATCATATTTGTTCTTCACATACCAACAGTTACTGGTAACTTTATATATTCCAATATATACCCCATTATACACCAAAATAATATTCTGGTATTGAAACATAAAAATATTATCGAAAATGAAACTATACATTTTTGTAATGAATGCAAATTATTGAGTAATAAATATTTTTACTGTACTATACTAATCCATTCCAGTTGTAACTTACTTAAAGTTGAAAATTGTACATTCTTGGCAAAAGGTTCATTTTCAGAAGTAATTCAATTAAAACATGATAACTATTTAGTGAATACTAACAAGAATATACCAGTATATGAAGATTGTACCAAAGAAAGAAAAGAAATTGATTCCTCTTTTATTATCAGCTTAAACTGTAAAACATTTATTGATCATACTGAATATTTGAAGATTTCTGATATTTCGAAACCTTTATACATACCTAACATTATGGTGAACTATGATAAGAATATGTTATTTGAAAATACTGATGTAAAGGGTTATTCGGATATACAATTGAATAATGTTTTATTACACGATAAATTAAAAAATTTAGATTTTTCACACAAAATGTCCACGTTTAGCATTGTAACTATTTTATGTATTTTAACATTTATTGTAATTATACTTTGTTTAAAAAAACAATTGCTCTCTCTTTTGAAGCAAAAAGAACCAAAAAATCAATCAGTCAAAAATGACATTGAACTTAACCAGATTTTTCCTTTGAACCAGGAGGTACAATCTTCTTGAAGAGGGAGGAATTACGGTACTGCTATGATGATGATCTAATATGTAGAGTTGCTTAGGTTTGCACTTTTCGATTCCTTTGTTCTAGCGTAGGTTATAAGTAAGAGATGCATGTAAACCAAGGTGACCAGTACTCATTCGTCTTCTGTTAAATAAAGTCGCTTTTTAAAAAGTCGTTCGTTGTTTGCACATTCTTAATTCGCGCGAGTCGAGATACATTGGGTGGCATTGCGGCGTCCAGTACTTCCCGCGCTTTGGTGGCGATAGGATGTATTTAGTAGAAAATGGAGCGT